TAAATTTATTTATTTTAAATTTTCATATTTTATTTTCTCTAAACGACACGGAAGGTTGTTGGGAGACAGAGCAGCACGGCCTGAGAAACCCTGCCTATCCAAGATGCTTTAAAATATCGCAGGCAGTGCAGCCATTTCACAGACTAAATAAACCACCTATCACCGCGTCCTGTGACAAGTCGATGCTTTTTTTAATTAATTCACTCCCACTGCGATGAACAAATTGTTATAATGTTCATGATTTAATCCGGACTATCAGATTTCTCCACCTGTTACACAGGACCAGTAAAACCTATAGACTTCCCTAAATATTTATGGAGCTTTAGATGGCTGAGCAAGCATTTCATAGGACGCATTATCTTTATGAAATTAAGTTTTTCTATCTGAGCAGGCTGAGGTTTGCTGGCTGGGACATCAAGCTCACCAGGGACCATGCCAGAAAACAGACTTTGCTCAACACCTGAGCTCATGCCAGTTGATCGCGCACCAAATAACATTTTTTTTTTTTTTTAGTCTCGACCTCAGTTATTCATCAATTTTTTTTTAAACAATAAAAGGATGTCCTCGAAATAGAGGTTTGGCAGGTAAACAAAAGGTAGAAAACGGGTAGAAAAGAACTTAAACAGCAACGCCTGTGGGATGGAAAGCTACAAGACGACTTCTCAACCTTTGCAAAGCATCAGCTGAAACAGCGAAAGGTGGGTGGGGGTAACCGAAAAGCCGAGCGTCAGATGAGCCTGAGCAGGGATGGGGAAGATGACAAAGTTTGGAGAATGCGATTCATAAAGAAATAAAAACTTGTATTCCTGGCCCTCAAACTGCTGAGATCTGGAAACTTGGAGGAAACTCGTATCATGGGTGCTATGTTACTGGTGACCTCCAAACTACATCTTCATACACAGCAATTGTTGCCCTAAATTGCAAAAAAAACCAAAAAAAAAGGCAAGTTGCAATGCAAAAATGCTATTTTCCTCTCCCAGAAGCACCTGGTGTTATCTGACTGTCATGGCAGCTCTGGGCTTATCTGCTCTGCAGAGGAGACCACTCGAGGAGGACACGGGGATGGAGCAGCCACTGGGGAACAGAGAACCAGCGCCGTGGTGTGATGCTCTGATAGCACCTAACGAGTCCAAGAGCTATGGGGACATCTCGCCTGAAGTTGCCAGCCTGAGGGAGGGATGAGACCATGCTGGCTGGAAGAGCTAAACATGTCTGCACTTTGTGTGGAGCGTGGTGAAGGGCACTCCATCCTCCTGCCGCCCAGAGCAAGCACCAGCAGCTGCAGCCACCAGCTACGGCCCCTCACCCAACCTCCACCCCATAAACCTGTGAGATACACGGGGAGGAGAAAACCGCCCTTGCTACATGATGGGGCAGGCTGTATTTAAGTTACGATTCCCGCAAGAGCAAACTTTATATATTAGTAAATAGATCGTTATCGGTCTGAATCCAAGAGTTGGCCTATACAGATAGACCAGGATTTACGAGCCTGGGCTTTACCGCCTGGTTAGGGTTTGTCTTTCTTGTACTCTTCCATCATCTGCTAAAGCATATTCCCATGTATCAAGAATCATCACCAAATCTTCCTTAGCGATCCAGAACAGTCGGTTTAAAAAGAAAGTGGTAAAGAAACATGAAGAACTGTCTTTATCCAAGGCAGAACTCTAACATTTACCATTTTTTTGCCTTCTCCTCCTATTTGGCTATAAACAGCGGGCAGAGATGCGTTATCCTTATTCTCATGGTTGGCTCAAAGGGAGGAGGTTGCTATTGCAAAGACTTTTGCAGACTCTCGGTACGCAGCACGACAGCAGCTGTATTGCAGGAGGCATCAGGCTGAAGCCAGACTGCCCGAGGATGCCTCAGCCGGTTGTTTGCAAACCTCTGGAAATAGCATTGTCTTCAGACAGAAGGTTTAAAAAAAGATTCGCAAGGCGCATTGTATTAGATTTCGCCGAGGAAAAAAAAAAGGAAAATAAAGGTTAAAATAATTCCACGCTTCTGTTAGATGACTTTGTGGTAGGTATTTTGGTTTCCATAACATCAGCAGTATGCCACAGCAACAATTACATCATGGCTAAATACCGTTCTTGCACACAAATTCTATTACGATTTTAAGAAAAATCCTTAGTGAATACTTAAATTTGTCATTTCTTTTAGCAGAAGTGTCCAAATATCTCAGCAATCTGCTTTCAGCCTCCTGCAAGTTTTGGAGAGACAAGAAGCCTATCTCTGGATGCAGAGGAGGACCACTCCACTTCAGGTACCCATCACCAATAACCCCTCTTGTTTTTCAGCCACCAAGACATCAAATAAACCCTTGTAAAGCCACAAATATCTCAGATAAATTCACAATTCAAAGTAATGTAACTATTTTGCTGTCTTGAAACACCGTATTAACTACCTAGTCTTCATCTGTAGACTGGAAACTATCATTAAAAAACGGGTTAATCTTTGGGCCAGCTAGGAAGGAAGGATATTCTGAAGACCCAAGATCTGAATATGTATCATCAGTTTTCTTTCCATCAGATCCATTCCTCCACATGCAGCATGTAACTCCGAGAAGAGGAAAAGTAAATGATTAAACCATACGAATAATTCACCCAAGAATTAGCACCCATGCAGCTGTACAGCTTATTTATATTTATAGAAAGCAAACTATGCAGAGATGACCGTATTTTCCACCAGCAGAGCTTGCAGTGCTCCAGCTGTAGATGGATGATGTGCTCCGGCATTAAGAATTGGAACGAGCCCTTTGCAATCGGATGCCTCCGCAACTGCTCCTCTCATCCATACAGTAAATACTGACTTTAATGACTTCATGTGCTTGACAGATTTATAGGAGAAAGCTAATTAGGTCAGTGGTTTATAAGCCGGTCCAAGGAGAATTACAGATTGCTGCAATCAGGAGCTCTGCATATACCCCGGGCTCGGGGAGGAGCACTGACCCGCTAAGAAATCCCAGCCCAAACACGGGAATTCCCTTATGGATGACGGCATCTCGGCTCGCTCCTCCGAAGCCGGCGGAGGCTGCCAAAACCCGAGTGCACTGAAATCCCACCTCACCAAGGTATCATCTCTCTCCAGCTTTCAGGAAGGGTCCTCCCTCCCCAGGTCTCTTCTAGAAAGTGTATCAGTTACCTTCATAGTAAAAAACCAGCTATATTGGCTTTGCAATAGTCTTTTTGTTTGCCTTTTTATGGTGGATAATAGTAAAATAGACCTGTTCCTATAAATACAGACAGGTTTTCCCATTAACTTCTTACAGCATCTATTGAGTAGGGTGCATGAGCATACAAAGACCAGTTAAAAAAATGAAATAAAATGGGTTTGAGCAGCTCTGTTCCATCTTCTTGACCAAACAAAGAAGAGAGAGTTAACAGAGAAGCATCAAACTCCAGAGCAAACACCCCCCAAATGATCCGCTCAGGGCTATATTGCTTAGTTTTGGCCATCCTCATATTCAAGGAGACTTCTCTCTCTGACTTTTCAGGTCTCTCATAACACTGTAGAGGCCCAAAACGAAATGGGTTTGAGCAGCTCTGTTCCATCTTCTTGACCAAACAAAGAAGAGAGAGTTAACAGAGAAGCATCAAACTCCAGAGCAAACACCCCGCAAATGATCCGCTCAGGGCTATATTGCTTAGTTTTGGCCATCCTCATATTCAAGGAGACTTCTCTCTCTGACTTTTCAGGTCTCTCATAACACTGTAGAGGCCAAACTATCAGGGTTTCTGGGAAGGGCTGGTTTCATTCTTTGGTCTCAGCTGGACTCAGGCCGCAGAGCACAGCTCATGAAATACTAGCTCTACCGAAACTGATGATAAGGAGGATTTCCCTTGACCTCACCCAAAGAAGAATTTCACCTGAAGGGAGGGCATGCAGACTGGCATTAAAAAAAAAGGCATTTTGAAGATCTGTAACTTATTTACTGTATTATACAGCCCAATTATATGTTGTGCATCCATGAAACAACATGTACTTTAGCAGTTTTCTTGTCCTGCTTGTTGTTAGATAACAAATGATGTTTGGAGAAGACTCCTCCCATCCTAATTAATAGACTATGCCATCTTGTCGTATACGTTACCTGTTAAATTATGGCCTGTATTTTTGTTCTCTCTCTTACAGCACATTAATTTGAGGCTGGAAAGCGACACCCAGTCTTAACAAACCTAAAGCAAAGCTTAAAGTTCAACCTTTCCTAATCTGCCATGGCTATTGGAGGTCGTAAGGATCTCAAGTCTGACCTTGCAGAACATGTATGAGAGTGACATCTTCCCTCCCTCCCCACAAATTAACACTGGAAAGCAAAAAAACCACGAGAAAATTAGGGTGGCATTTTCAAGAGATGCCGAAAAATAACTTCTATGCGATATTAAATGACACAGCAGCAAGTCCAGACGAAGGCAAGGAAGGAGCCCTCTGAGCATATATCAAGGAGACAAAAGAGCAACGGTTAAGGTCTTCATGATGTTTGAGGATACTTGTATCCCAAAATGTTTATTTAAAACCAGCAAATCTCTGGCTGGATTTTATTTTACAGGTAGCAGTGGGTCAGATGGTAAATTAGAAGTGAAATTTTAATAGTTCAATGTACACGCCTTAACATACAAGAATTAAAGGGACAATTTAAGACCTTTATCAGTGCCACAAACTCATGTCAACACTCATTGGCATCAGAGTAAGTATTTTCACACCTACCTGCTCAAGTTTAAAGATGTGTTGGTTAAAGTAGTGCTGCAAGCGCTCGTTGGCAAAGTTAATGCAGAATTGTTCAAAACTATTATTTTCATAGTCTTCAAACCCAAAAATATCAAGTACTCCAATGGATAAAGTCTGCAAGAAAAGTAAGAATGCGGATTAAAATAAAATCACATAAAGTAAATGGATTATTTGTACGCAGCACACAATTAAAAGCATACAAACAGAATTAAATATACTTAATAGCAGGACTTTCAATTTTTACTGGAATTGTTGATATTATGCCATCTGGAAGACATCACCTACATCAGAGAGACAACATGTAACTTTAGATATCTGGACAGATGGCCTTTTTCTAAAAGAGAAGTCCTTTCAGAGTTGTTTCTTTGAAGAAACCTGAAGCCAGTTCTGAGTTATTCTATTGGATCTAAGACAGAATTATCTTTTGAGGGGAAAAATGCGGGTAGGGTTGGAAAAAAAGGCTTACACTGTGAAGACAGTCCACAGAAAGATGCCTACAAGGTGAATACAGGCTGTCTAAGCAAACACGCTCCAGCTGCAAGCCTTCCAAAGAAACACCTGCACGGCAGGGGTTTGCATGGAAACAATCCATTCAACAAAGGAAAATAAGTCTGGTCAGAAGTAAAATAGTATGGAATATAAAAGATCCACCTAGCATATCAGATGGATCAGATGAATGTCTCCTACCGAGAAGCATAGCCCAGACTGACTGATTTTTGGAATGGTTGAGTCTCTCTCACCTTACCGAAGGGGATGTAAAATAACGTAAAAATAGTAATGCTGCTGAAAAGGAGGGCTCAAATCCATCCCCTGAGTCAGGTTCCTTCATAATTAAAACCATAGGCAACAGAGCTGTTGAGCAAACAAAACAAAAGCTCCTTTTCTAACCTAATGACCCAAGAGTCTGCTTTCCCCACCCTTTGAAGACTTGGCTACTGCTTGCCTCGAATGAAGTTCTCTGGGCAGGGAAGGGAACCAAGCCTCATTTCCCACGGATGCTGTCCCAGGGCTCCGTGCTCCAGCACAGCCATCCCAGCCCTTGCCACCAGGACACAAGAAATGCTCTGCAGGACCAGCCCAACACTCCTCCCAGCCCAGCATCTCCAACCATGGCAGCAGGACATCCCATCCTGGGTACGTCGGCATGGCTCTTCTGTGGTCCGTCACCCTTTTCTACCCACAGTTTTGGGATGAGGGAGGGGGAGAGGCACCTCTGTGCCCCCTTTAGCTCATGGGCAAGAGATGTGTAAAGAGGTACCCATTCCATTTTTTTTTTAACCCATTGACACTATGATGCCTCACAGCCTCTCAGGCCAGCTTCTAGATGTTCACAAGAGAGAAGTGTTTTCTTTTACTAAATTCATACTCCATAACTTAAATTGCAAGATTTGGTGAGTTACAGTTCTAAAATGCCTTTTTTTCCACCACTTGATGATTTTTTTAAACCTCAACCGTATCCCACCCCAGCCTTTTCTCCAAATTGAAGAGCCCTAACCCTGTTTGGTCTCTCCTCTCTCCTCTAACCTACAATGACCTCTTGAGATGGTCATCAAGACATGGGTGCACCAAGCTTTTTTATGTTGCAAAATGAGGCCACCACCACTGCGAATTCACAGCTTGCTTTGCAATCTCCTGGCCCCCTCCCCTCCTCCTGAACCAACCCCGCTCCTCCCGTACCAGCCAGGCAAGGGGCAGCAGCGGACCCTGGCCACACGTACGTTGGCCCACGAGGAAGTGAAACCCATCACTCCCCGGGCTCAGACTATCCCTCCTTCCCTTAACAGGAGTAGAAACATGGATCTTTCTCCTTCATGTATGTACTGGATTTCATAAATCTTGAGCACTCTGCTTGTTGGATGAATTTGGTAAACATGGGGGAAGAGGGAGGTGGGGACTTGACAGCCCATAAACCTCACTGACACAGGGAGCCAGGGTGAAAAACAAGCTGAAGCAGGTATAATTTCTGCTGCAACTTCCAAACCAGTATATGACTGTTCTGTTAAACAAGTAATTAATAATTAGTTACAAATAAAACTCGGATTGTGTCCACCTAGCAAGCCTGTTGTCATCGGAAAAGGAGTGAAGTGTTTGAAGGACACGTGCACAGAGAGCTCCACCAGCAGTTCGTTAGCGAACTGCGCTCTGGGGTAAGCTTCCATGTCTAACCAAAGCCATTTCACTTGTACACGGGTTCTGTTCATACGTTACAATTCATTAAATAAAAATATTAAGCGAGGTAAAAGCATTAGCACTGGTCAAATGAACCAAATCTCAAGCAGAGAAGAGAAACACCTCCACCTCAGAAGAACCTGAGAGCTGTCAGGCACGCTGGTTTTAATTTTATTGGTCTTATCTGCACTCTGGATTTCATAAGACTACCTTCCTAAGACTAGCCTAACTCCACTGCCAGAAATAAAAACCAGACTATCCGCAAGTGTCTCTACGCTGTAGTTTGTCTGTTTTCAACAGACCACGTAACGTGGGAGGAAAATATTCCTTCTGTGCTCAACTCCTGACCAGGGAACCACCTACGGCTGGAACAGACAGAGCTGCCGTGGGCAGAGCGGCCACCCGGCTTGTGAGTTGAAGCTTTGTATGATATGGACTTCAGCTACCAGAACAAGGGAAAACACAATTAAAAAAAGCATATAAGCTCAACAATAAGACTCTAACCCATTTTTCCAAGAGGTCTTTGGCTACTTTATCCTTTGTTCAGGCTTTTCTCCCTATTCCAGGGCCAGACTCTACCTCCTCACCCCCACCCATGCCATGCCAAGGATGGCTGCTGAAGGTCCTTGGCCAGCTTCCCAGAAGTTTGCATCATTTGGCAAAATGCCCATGAGAAACAGCCGTTTGACGAGAAGATGGAAATTGGGAAGCCACCGGACCAAGGACTGAGCCTGGCAGAGGGATTCACTCTCACTCGCTGCTTCCCAAGGCTCGAGCATCCTTCTCCTGCTTGTCCCAACAAACGTGGCAACCCTTTTGTTCACAGATATTTTCATTAAACGACAGCCTAACAAGCAGAAATCTGCTTCATCTTTTTTTTTTAAATAGATGTCAGGAAGAATTCTTCTTAAACTCTTTGTATAATTAGCAGCTCATATTTTACCTATATTATACATGGAAAAAGTGATGATGGAAACACGTCAAAGTGACTTTTCCTCATCCACGACACCGATGCTCCATGCGCATCGTCCCTGCATAAGCAAATCCCGACCCCAACCACCCCACCGCTGCGCAAGCTTCTCCCTACGATACACAAGAGCTCCCCAGAACTGCTCCAGATAAAAGTCGCTATTGCACGACATAAAAACAAGACTTGGAAGATAAAACGCTCACACTTCCAGAATCCTTATGGAATTACTGACACTGGCTTTCACAAGCGCCGTGCTGATGCTCTGTGGACACAGTTAAGCCCCTGCCACGAGTGAACACTTTAAATAGGGTTTTCAAGCTCTCACAAGCATAATTTAATATGAAATCGCTGAGCACAAAAAACCTCCCCCCTTTTTTTTAATGCTGGTTAATTTACTGTGTCAAAACTGCTACTAAAATAGATTTTCATGTGTGCGTGTAAATACATTTATAAAGCAAAATAGAACAGTTATATATTGAAAAATTGGCTACTTCAGTTATAAAAGAATCCTATTAAAAATATTATATTTTGAAGTTGTCTTTTTATAATTTTTTGCTGATACCCAAAATTAAACAAGCTCAGAGAGGTAAAACGCACAGAACTCAAAAAAAGAAAAAAAATCTGCATTTAACAAAATCACTGCAGGTATCAAACCGCGCATACAACATGAGGATGGTTAATTCTGCCATGGTTGTTACATGGGGAAAACCAGCATTCTTCTCACATCACTATGTGGATAACTCCCGAACACCTCCAGAACACAAATCTTAAGATGTGGGGTTTTTTTCCAGTTTCAAGCCAGAGAAATTAGGGCAGAGCTCTGTGGTGAATCAGGTCATTTGCCCTCTGTTGCAGGAGGCAGCATCGCAAAGATGTTGGCAAAGATGTCGCAAGAGAAAGAGGTCAATGCATTTAAGTTGGTAAAACTTTTAAAAATGAGAAATTGGGAATTTATGGCTATTTTTCTGCTTTCTGGCCAAAAAAATCTCATCCCTACGCAAAAGGGTTATACCAGTTTTTCCATTATAAAGCAGCACAAATCTGCCAGTACAGAGTCATTTCTTATAGCAAGGTGAAAAAAAATTATTTCCATTGAGTTATGCGTAAATGAAATTATTTTGTTAAACTGCCTGACAAAAGCACACAACCTGGTTGGTTTTAGGATTAAGTTTGTAAAGGAAATAACCGAAGGAATTTTATATTTACAAATCTTCTAATTCTTCAATTTCAAATTCACACATTGAATGAGTGTTGTAAGGAAATCATGCAAAGATGTAATATAATTTAGACCTCAAGTAGCCAAGTCTAGTTTATGCATTAATGTTGTTCCTTTATCAAAACTAACATTTAAAATTAACAAGGACGCAGCACGGACAAGCCTGCAGCACATGACTGCATTACGAGTATATCGAATCTATAGCAAAATTCCTGTAATTAAAAGTGTACGCCTACAAGGATTTTTAAAATTTGGGCGAACCCTGGAAACACTTTCTGGTTGAGATGATAAAAGTGACTTCATGCTTTCCTAAAAATGTCACAGCCATGACATTTAAACACCGAGCACGAGTCTTAAGGGCTTTCAGCAAATGACAGTCTTGAAGCTACATTCACATGCTTTGCAATTCCCAAACCACCAATAAATAGCGATCATTGGAGCTAATTTATGTCACCCCAAACGCACGCTGGTGATGTCATTCCACCACAGAGGTACATTTTGGCAATCACAAATAGGTTTGCTTCCAATTCTGGGGAAAAATCTTTTTTATTACTATTTTTAAAATTTTTATGTGTTTTAAAAAATTTTAAAATTTATTTTTTACAATATTCCAAAGCCAATACTGTAAAAAAAAAGAAGAAACAAAACCCCATCACCACTAAATCTAAAAGGACTACTCCAATCTACATCAGCACGATATACATGATGACCTATAACATAAAGTGGGAGGCAGTGATTTGCTACAAATTTGGAAGTTGGGACCTAAAAATCATAAACAGATATGCATTAAACCCATTGCGTGTTCAGCAATTTTTCCTCTGTTTGAGGTCAGATAGCCAAGAATAAAATCGTTGATTAAATTTAAATGAATTTTTTTTCATGACCATGAATTCTTCACGAATTCAGCCATGAATTTTCTTCATGGCCATTAATTTAAATGAATTTTCTTCACGGCCATGAAATTGCATTCACCATCATCACCACGTATGCAGCACCTCATCTGAAAACAGCAGCAAGGTTATTTAGGAAGAAATTGAGACACTTCACAAGAACCAAACGGGAAAAGCTTAAAAAAAAAAAACTTGGAAGAAATGCCTTTTGGTCCACCTTGATCTACACTGTATCATCATTTTAAGCAACGAGACAGACTTCTAACAATTCTTAACCTAATTTATGAAAGGAGAATTAAATAAGAGACTCTCTGAGGTTTAGTAATCTAGTTCTCAAGAGGAGGAAAAATCTCCAACCTCATTAATAAAGGTCAAATTTCAGACAGTTTGTAGGGGATCATGAGAACACAAAAGAAGCTAAAAGCAATAGAGAGAAGACCAAGGAAAACAGAGAGTCGGAGTGAAACCGATACGCAGCAGTGCTGCTATGGGCATAAAACAAGCCGTATCAAATAACTTATTCACAACTTGGTTCAGAAATAATACACTACGAATCCTGTCAGCAAGCAAGATAAGCCAAATCCCACTGCGTTTTCCCAAAATAATTCACTGTACATTTAACTAAAATTGGATATCAAAGGTCTGATTTACATCTTCCAAATACTCACTTGAAAACCAGTGGAAGAACGATGACCGGGCGCTTATTTTTTTTACCCAGCTTCATCTTTTGATCTTCTCCTTACTGCTGACATCAAATAAATACACATATTGGGATATGAAAATTGTCTCCATTCCCATTATCCCAAGTCCTCTTGGGGCAAGGTCTTTGTTAGGATCTAGGTCTTCTTCCCACCTATCACCAAACCACATGGCCCACCAGCAATTAAATAGGCTTAACTAGCTATAAATAGCCTCCTCGGCAAACGCAGCCTGCACGGAGGAGTATGATGTCCACCACCGGTTTGGTTGAGCATGAGTTTTGGTCAACGAAGTTGTCCTAGGTGGCTGGGGCAATGCCTTCTTCTGCAACCTCCAGCCTTCACGTCAAAGCCCCAAGCTACCACAACCAGGTGAGCTGTAGCTCTGGACAAGCCAACTTCTGCAAAGGCTATACAAGCTCTCCATGACTATTTTCATAGGACAGCTATGTATGACCACTGAAATAAAAATTTATACTCATGAAGAGATATACTTTCACATTCATTTTTGTGATCAACTTCAGATGCAGTTCTCCTCCCATATCCACTCTGAATTCAGATGGTTTTGAGTCTTACTTCTGCATAACACGACTGTCATATAAGAAAGCCCTCCGCCAAGAAATCCATCACCTGACAACCTTTCAAACCTTCAAAACCTGAGAGATTATTTCAAAATATATCTCAGAAGTCAAAGGAATATTGGTGACAAGTGTGGGCTGGGATTAAGCCAGGACACTTGCTGCAGGGCGAGTTGCATATTGCTCACCCACTGCAAACTCGGGAGTCAGCAACCTTTCGTGGTGAGGTGCAAGACTGTATTTTTCTTTCTTAAATCAGCGACTCAGTGTGTTTAGGAGATTTTTTGAGGGAGCTGGTAGATGCCAGCAAGTAGATGTCATCCAAGTGCTGAGATCATGTTGCCTTCGAGGACCTGTTCCCAGGGTCCGGAGATGCCCCTGCTCCCAGTCCACCTTCCAGTTACTTGCTGGTGTTGCCCAACCCCAAGACCACATATGGGAGGTTAAGAACAACCTGTATCTTCATCCAGGCTTTCTCCAAGCACGAACTGAAAAGGATTTCAAGAAGATTGTGAAGTGGTAGGAAAAACCAGATTAATCGGCATCAGCTCGGTTCTTCCAGGGCAGAGAAGGGTGGTAATTGCTGGTTGGTGTCTCAGCAGCAGCCGCAGAGCCCAGGATGCCCTCGGCTGCTTGCTGGCAGCGACTTTATTCCTTGAGGGCAAAGGAGCTGCTACTCCCAGCCCTGCCTGGTCCAGGCAGACGCTTCTCCTCCCTCTGTGCTGGAAGGACCCAAGTTGGGGGCAAAAAGAGGGGGCGAGGAGGTGACGCTGTAGAACAACTCAAGAGAAAATTGGCTAGTCGATCTTTAACGAAGCTGCTCTCTGCAGCTCTGTGCAATGCACATAAACTCTCTTCTTTAACCTCTCTACCCATAAAATGGGCAGGATTCATGCATTTTCATGATTTCTGGGGGACTTGTGAAAATCAATCAATGTTCATAGAGGACTCTGAAGATAAACCTACTTACACTCCTGTCTCCAGAAGTATATATTTCTCGGTATTTTGAGCACTACCTTCCCGTTTCAGAAACCCTGGCATGCGTACAGCCCCGGACTGCCTCCCTGGATCTCGACACCGGTACGAGCCTGCACGTTCCTGCAGCTCCGGGCCCTGGGCGTTTGCCAGCGTAGGCGGATCTGCTCTTGCGCAAGGGCAACGCCGCTCCCAGCTCCCAGCGCTTGCTGCCTGACCTGGATCTCATTGCTACACCGTACGATTCTGGGCAAAGAAAATGGGTCAGAAAACTGGGAATTGGGAATTCATGAGATGATACAGGGAGACGGGTAAGGGGAAGGTCGTTATGCTGCACAGGAGTCTTGGCTGGAGGAAGCAGAGAGTTAATATGCAGCAGCGATGCTGGAAAACAGCACAAATTTGGGCTGTTCTGGCTCCTACCTGCTGAGATTTGAGGTTGGGAACTAAAGTTTAATGGCCCATAAACACCTACCGTTGTGCCCTGCTATTACAGACGTGCTGACTAAGCAAGCAATAGTGTCCTAGTCTGATTTTGTATTTAAGTATTACAGAACAGATAATATTTTTTAAAAATCATTGGACCATTAAAAAAAAATTTATTAGTATTTAAGATGCATTTCCTTGTCAAAACAAATCCACCTTTTCTGCTTCACCAAATACACAAACAGTGGGGTTTTTTTCCTGACAGCCCAGACAAAACTTTTGATGACTTGGAAAAAAATCAGGAAAGAAGACAACATTTTTAGTAAAATATTAAACAGAGGAAGAGGAAGCATGTGCAATCAGAAGAGACACTGGATGTTACCCACTTTAACAACCTTTCTTGTCAGAAAAGCGTATAACCAAATTTTATACGCATGTATTTATTTTCAGTCTATAATTATGCTCCGCAAGCATTTCTATGGAGTTAAATAAAGGACTGGCTACACTGCAAGTCCCTGCAACTTCAGTCCTACAGCATAATTCAAACGTAATGTTAGCGCTTAGCAAAACAATCCTCCTTTTGGCAGCTGTGGCTTCAGCCTGGATGTACAACCCCCCCCCAAAAAAAACACACGCTGCTGGCCCATACCCAAAATTTCCAAGCCAAGGGTAGCTGGCGAGCTGCAAGCACGTGCGTGTATGGACGCATCCATGCACCCGTGCTTTCTGGTGTCAGCATCCCCCCGCCGCAATGAGCACAGATGAATACATGAGAGTTTTTGGAAAGGACGTCCTGGATTGTGACATCCAGCCCTGCTATTGCAGGAAATGTCATGTCATCCCTTCCATCAATCCTTTGGGAAAGCAGTTCGGCACCGTCGCCATCTTTTTTTCCCCAATCTCACTTTTCTGCTCGTTAGCGATGTGCTATCTCAGTACCTACTGACACCACAGCTTGTTCACCTTTTCTGATTATTTTTATGGAACAACCTCATCAAAACGCCTCCCGTTAGGAAGCTTTCTTTTTTTTCCCCTCAATTAATATATGGTCCCATAGTTTTACACACAAGAAGGAAAAGTCTTTGGCATGTCTCCCAGGGGGCTGGGGGAACAGACTTTTGTGGCTACAACAAAACCTCTTCCCCAGCCTCTTTGAGGATATATTATTCGAGGTGCTTCACCCTTCCTGGCTCCGCAAACACTGCTTAAAATAACGATGTCTAAAATATTAACCGACAAAAGTTAACTTTACGTTAAGCAGTGTGCTGTTAGGAGCTTGGGTAATGTTTTATCCCATAGTTACCTATTTTAAAAACTCAAGAGTGTAGCCAAAAGAGCTGGCGAAATGTTACCTTGGTGCTTTCCTCCATGTCCTTCGAATTGAGGAGTGCGTGGTTAATTCTGAACACTATCCAGTCGAACAGGGCGCTGTACAATGATTTAGCCATGGAGTTTCGCACGGTCACAGCCTGAAAGAGAAAAGAAAAAGGTGATTGGAAACGATTCTTGCTCTGCACTGAAACGGATTTTGCTTCTCAAGCATCCATATTTCTCCCTTGCCAAAGCTTTTGTCTACTGTTTTAGTTTACGCCGTGTACTGACGCCATCGTGAGTTGGTTGCAATCCCAGGGCCATGAGATGTGCCCCTTGGCTTGGTTTCCTTTGGTGCATTCAAGCGAACGATGCACGAGATCACACCATAAATCCCATCACTGGTGGTGAAAGGAAAAGAAAGAAAAATATATATAAAAATAAAAGATATATTAAAAATACGTATTTAACTTCACCAAGATCCTTGAAGAGTTTATTCGTGGAGAAGGAAAGAGGAGGGTGGATATTGCACAGCAACGATAGCAAGCGATGTGAAAGCACACGCTGGGGCAGGCAGCGCCTGGTACCAGTAGAAGGGTTGCGAAGAGGGAGGCTAAAACCCCTACAGTAAATCTGTGAGCAGTCCTGAAAACTTCAAGTTTTCCAGGTACTGCCAATGGGGGCTACAAATCACGGCAGGCAGATTCGCTGCTCCTCCAGCAGCTCTCCTAGAAAGGGGAATAATACCTCTGAAGTGACCCCCCCACCCCCCGGTGCTCTCAGCCACGACGCAAAGGGACACATGCACTGGGACAGGCACCTACATACACAACCATAAAGCAGCAATTCATATTTAAGGCCCATCTTTGTTCTTGCTGCTCGTGATTCTTCCTTGAATTACCACCTTGAGCTGTATTGCAGTGCTTTGGTACATACCAATCACCTAAAATCTTGTGATACCAGCCGTGACTGTTAAATTTCGGTTCATTTTAGTCACTGTGGAAGAATAAACACGGAAACAGAATGTTCACGCATCACTATTTCAATAAAACCTTCAACTATAACAAATCGGTGGCTTGTCACACATTGCCTTGAAATCCTTCTCACCAACCCTCCCTTCCAGGTACATCATCTGAGTGGCCTTATTTCACTGACCCCAAGCAAAAGAATAAAGCTCACGTAGCATCGTTTATCTTCTATTAGCTTGTTCCCACCTCTTTTTCCTTTAATTTTTTGTGATAGGATCTTTTAGCGTGAACACAAGCTGTTCTGCCAACGTTTTGCTCTTAACGTGCAACGAATCCAGTACGCGGTCTCGCTTTCTCTCCCTCTCGAGTTGGAACAGGAGAAGGCAGGAACACGGTCCGTGACCGGTGCTCACAAGCTCACAGCGCACAAAAGCCTCCGTACGCTGGTAACCAGTGCTCGGTGGCAATAAAACATTGTCAGATCAGCCACGTTGCAAGGATAATTACAAAATATTGCAACAGTTAACAAGGAATTACTCGCCCAAAAAAAGCACTGCTACAAACCGAAAACAAGCGTACGATGAAAACATATGAGCAACAGGACCGAAAGGATTTTTTGTAGCGCAGACCAAAATAGCGCTTTTAAAGACTGAGTGTGAGCTGTTGAAATGTCTGAGTTGTCCAACAAGTGTTGGAAAGCAGCTGGCATTTAGAAATACAAACAGGTCTAGTTTCCAGTAACTGTTTTTTCCTTCCTTTACAGAAGAAGAGGTTTTGGGAAGGGGTTTTTTTTGCTGTTTTTATTACAAGCAACATGGGTTGTTTTTGTTTTTTTTTTTTTCTGTTGCTTTTATTTTTTACATTTTCCCAAAATGTGGGGGAATATTTCAGTGATTAATAGAAAATTTCAAGACCAGTTTTCTAACCCCACACTCCATCTCAGCTTATTTGATTGGATAAAGCTGGAAAACAATCAGTGCCACTGTCACACCAGAAAAATCAGTCTCTGGGGAAAGACGAAGGCCAAGACCCAGGAATGTTTCTCGCTGCCGTAATGCTTTGTCCTAGCGTAAACCAGCCCAATTAACTGCTCCAACACAAAGGCGTGCAATTAAAAACGAAAACCATTTCTATTTAAAGCCAACAGAGAATGGCATCGTTTCCTCTGTACAGTCATATACGGGTTTATATTGCAATACGTTTCTTTTCCCCTTTTGTTAGAGGCTATAGGGATGTGCAGGACGTCACCGCTGAATTTTCCTTTTTTCTAAAATAGACGAGGATATCATTAAGCCTGCACCATCCCAGCATTGCCCAGTTTCCTCCAGGAATGTAGGCTATAAGCCATCGCTTTTCTTCCCAAGATGGGCTCGCCTACATGGCAAGCTGGGAAGCCCATGAGGAGCTGCTCTCCTTGCTACGCTTGGGACCCAAAAACGTGATCAACGGCCCAGATCTCAAATTCTTCAATAGTTATTTTTAGAAGCGATGGCTGTATCGTAAGAGCTGGGAGGAAACTCCTGGCAAAGCAACATATAGAGAATATGGGGGGGTGGAGCACACGTACACATGGATCTCATTTGCAAATTTGTTGGCTCCTTATAAGCCAATTTCTTCTCTCCACCGTACCAACAAATCCAGATAATTCCTCGACAGACGCGCCGTCATAGCGGACTTGTGGTGTAAGCAGCCCTTCGCCCTGCACGCTCCCCCAGACAATGAAATGCAGCCGCGCCGAAACCAGGATCCTCGCTTTGCCTCCTGGTACGTGCAGACTCCTCCTGGCAGGACTTCCACCGCAAAGAAATCTGGTTTCAGACACCCAAGTTGCTCCAGTGCTGCTGGGTGCTATGGGGTCCCACCAAAACGGGCTCTCCAAGCTCAACTCCCCGCGCCGTGCTGGACCTGCTTGTGGGGAGCGATGTCCACCAGCACTGGGAACGAAGTCCGTGGTACCCAACGTCCACGGTACCCAAACTAGCAGCAGCATTCTAAAATGAGGTATTTTTAATTGGCCTGAAGAGTTGAAGACAGCATTCTGCCGTCATGCAACATCCATTCATAATGTACCAGCAGAGAAATTAATCTATTTTATATGACTCAAGTTTTTGGGTTTTTTGAGAGGTTTTTTTTGGTTTTGTCTGGGGTTTTGTTTCCCCCACTCCCCCCC